TCTCTCATCACATGTCCGGACGGGTCGTGTCCTGAATACGAGAACAAAAGCAATTTGATATCCGCGCGAGAGATCCAACTCCTGGTGTCCACCGATGTGTACGACTCCTACAAACGCTATCGCCTTAACTGGATGGTCGAGAGGGATCCGACCCGCACCTGGTGTCCGACGCCTAACTGCGAAACTGTATGCCATATAAAGCCGCCGAAACACCATAAGGACAGCAAAAAGCCCATACCTGTCCACTGTTCCAGTGTATGTATTAATAGGGAATTGCATGCTATATATGTGACAAACTTTTTATGATATATTGTCTAACCTTTGAATTTTGTGTCCAAATGTCTCTCTGAAGTGCAATAAAACCTTCTGCTCGTCGTGTCGGAGGAACTGGCATTTGGGCGTCGACTGCAAAAAGTATAGCGCACACGAAGAGTACGTATCACCGGTTTTCCTATACATTTAGACCTAATCTCTAAAAATCTAATTACTTTCCGATGCGAGTGTCGTATGAATAATAAATAACAAACATTTTCTCTCTCTCTCTCTCTCTCTCTCTCTCTCTCCAATCGACCCAATCATACAGTGTTTTGTTGAACGAGTCGTCGCCAATCAAACGGTGCCCGAAGTGCTGTATACTGATCGAGAGGGACGAGGGGTGCGCTCAGATCATGTGCCGCAACTGTAAACACGTCTTTTGCTGGTACTGTTTGGCATCGCTGGAGGTCTGTCCCCTCACCACCAAAAAATATCTTGATAACCATCGTTCATTATAACACTATAAGATTACCTCCCGTTCCCCTCGCCATAGGATGACTTTCTGTTGCGCCACTACGACAAGGGTCAGTGCAAAGACAAGTTGGGCCACTCGAGGGCGTCGGTCATATGGCACCGGACCCAAGTGGTGGGCATATTCGCCGGCTTCGGGCTACTGATCCTATTGGCGTCGCCTATGTTCATACTGGCCGCCCCCTGTCTACTGTGCTGTCGATGCAACTCGTGGTATAAGAGCGATGATCACGACATCTCCAACGAAGACTTTGATCCCATCAGTAGCAGTGATATTGGCGTCAAAAGTGACTCAATTTTATAATAATTTAATGACTTTTTAATTGATTACGAATTTCGAGAGCAATGTCTTAATAATAAGTGTATATTATTTTCTCCTCTCATTTAGCGCTTTATTTTCCCCTTTATTTCTGTATATATTTTAAGCGATTTTTAAATCTGTTTTTTAAAATCTCTGTTTGTATTTACGAAAGTGTACTATAAGTTAGTGTCCAAAAGTAACTGCTTTTTTATTAACTCTTGTTTTTTAACTCTTTAAACTCATTATTATTATTAGTTTTCTCTCTGTTTCTGACGTAAAGCACAAAATGTTTGCCAAAAATAACTTAAACTGAAAATTAATTAATACAAAACACTATTAATAGTGAATATACACATGTAAGTTGTATTCAAATGAATCCAAAACTGTTAAATCCACACAATTTTAAAACCAATTTCTATGTTATGTTATGAATGTTTTTCAAATTCAGCAACAAAACGAAAATAATATTTGACACAAAAATATATAACAATTATTAACCGAATCTATAGTTTATATGACTGTTAGACAAATAACTAAACAAAAACTGTTTTCAATTGATTGCAAAATACTTTATTACAAAATGTATTCATTTCACGAATCCTTCCAATAATTGTTGTACAAAAATATCTGTTTATTATAGAAAGTTATTCTTAATCTAAACAAAAATATTTTTTATAAAAAACTTGCGAGCTGTTTAGAAATTTTCAAAATACATTTGTAATCCAATAGTTTGTTAATTATAGCCCTTATAATGAATTGTATAAATACTTCCATATATTATAGTTATACATAGAGTTTACGTAAGAATTATAACGAACTTAATTGTGTTGAGAAAAGTCTTTCAAAGCTATTGTCAAATCGGAAAACACAACCCAACCATCAATTAGTGACATATATTTCAAACAAATCCTATTTTAATGAATACTTAATTATGTTTAAAAATATATATAAATAATAATTTTCTGAAAAACATTATAAATTAAAAATGTAATATTTTACACAAACACGAAACACAATTACATAATAATTATTATAATAATTTTGCCAAAGAATT